CTCGAGAATATTGCCGTTGCGCGCTCTCTCTCTTTCTCTCTCTTTATGACGCGCGCAGATTTATTAATCAAACACCAACATATTATTATACAGCAAACTAAATACGCACAACAATGTGTGCGTTGGCAAATTAATTAAACGAAGCAATGTGAAAAATTAATATTGCGGAAATGTTAATTGCGCCACAGTGGCAAATACAATTGTAATTATGAATGAGGCCTAATTACGAATTACACAATATTCTTAGCGAGCGGCTGAACCGTCAGAATGATAACGCCAGTGCCAATCAAACTTAATGAGGGCTGTTATCGCATCGTCCCAGCGGCCGCCTGACCTTAATACCCCCGTGCAAAGCACTATTCGTGCCTGCGACAGTTCACGCACTATTACACGGAATTCTATCAATTACGACCGGATAACTAATTGTCGCGTACAATCGCAATACGATTCTGTCACCGCGTTTGACCGTTCGATAATTTATCTCCGAATAATGCCAACTCCGATTTGCCGTTTTCTCGTCGCTTGTCTCGCATTATTAGATTTTCGCGCGCTATCTTCAATTTCTCCGTTCTACACTCGGTTCTCATCCGAATTCGCGACTCTCTCTCTCTCTCTCTCTCTCTCTCTCTCTGAGCCTCAAGAAAATCACCGCGCGGGTTGGTGTATTTGCAAGATAAAAAGTTCTCTCGCTTTTAAAGTTTTCTGCGCGCGTGATTTGCAATCAGATCGCATGAACGCTCTGATAAACGGACCGCGATTCACGGTACGTTTAACCGCCAAATGTAATGCGTGGCAAACAAGTTTCGCGCGGAGTGCATGGAATAGCGCGTAACGTTAACGGGATAAGTTATGCCACGCACGAGGGGGAGGAGGAGGCCGCTTTTCAAGGGAGAAAAAGGAGGTAGGTAATCTTTCAGGATGTGCAGTCAGAACTCGCGCGGGGGAAGAAACATATCGCGGATGCCGGTTTTATGACACTCCGCCTATCTACATATCGTAACCGCGACGAGGTTTTATACGCGACGACGCGGCGGCGGTATATTTCTTGAAATTATGCGCAGTTTACGACGAGAAGCGCGCGATACAATGGCCACTTTGTGTCGTAAAAACGACGCCGCGAGTTTCAGTTTCGACTGACACCGCCACCCGGAGTGGTTGCGGAAAATTAATCACCCTCGTATATCTAATACTCGCTCACTCACTCACTCGCACGCGCTATCGCTAACGATAAAGGTCGCGCGATAAATCTGGTGATAAACTGACTTTCCAAATTTTCTCTACCACGCTCTAATATACTTCGCTAATATACTTCGTGCAGATTAGCATGAAAGAAAAGTTGTTTTGTTAAGTAATGTCTGGGAACCAAATTGTCTAAAAAACCAAATTCGAAATTTGAGACAAGAAAAAAAAATGAATTTTATGATTAAAACAAAATATCACAAAATATGCGTGCTTTAGCTTTTTATAATAAATGCTTTTATATCGGCGTTTATTTAGGTTCGTAAAGATTGCCGGAATCAGATGGCGCTGTAACTTACCGCGAGCCGCGCACCGCAAAGTGTTAAATGACTCGGAAACGGAAAAGCATAAACGTTGCAGTTAATATCGCGGCTTGCTGCTTTATTGCCCCGGTGGTTGAATGCGTGAAATTTATACGAATCGCGACGCGAATTGTCGGAATAAATGATTTCAGACCGAAACGGATCTTCTTGCGTAAAGCTTTTCAGCTTGCGATTTACATCATCAGTAAATTACATCAGAGCGGAGGTGTACAACCGATGCATGCGTGCATTTCTCGGTAACTGATCGCATACGTACGATCGCAACTACTACCGGGATACCGAAAGCTTCTCGTCAAGTGATTAATATGCATGCGAATACATGTTGTTGACACACGAAGCGACGTGTCGAAAAGAGCGAGCTGCCAATCGAACCGCGAAGTCCACAAGTCACGTTGTATAAATGCTCGGTTAATTGCAACGTGCGGAATATCATTAACCTTCTCTCCGAAACATAAATAGTATCGACAAAATTACAACGCGTTATTTTCACCTCGTCAATTTCATTTTAGCGCGAATCGCGAAGTTTTCGTCAGATATGACGATGGCCCCGTAAAATTTGTATGCGCGCACCGCGATTTTTCTTTCCGTTCCTGTATTTACGAGAATGCTGCTCCAAGCGAGAAAGATAGCGAAAAAGATAGATAGATAAAGAGAGAGAAAAAACGCGGCGTGTAATTTGAGCGAAAAATCGAGAAAGACGAAGAGCCTTTTTTGCGCGCGCGCAAACCTTTTAATTCTATTGCTGAAATTTCTTACAGGGCAAGAGAGAAAGAGAGAGAGAAAGAGAGAGAGAGAAAGAGAGAGAGAGGTTCCGACGAGGAAATGGACACGGTGAAAGAGACACGTTCGTTTTTCTTCTCGTGAAAGTGTGCTGACTGTTTTCATCGCGTTAAAACAGCCCGCGTCCGCGAAAAGAGGAGAGGAACGTTTTCGCACTTTATTACCGCTGGTGTTGCATGAAGCGCGCTGAGTACGCTCTCAAGAAGTACGTGTACAGCCATACACTTGGATCGAAACGATGTATGTCTCGTATAAAGCGCATTTTCTACTGAATTCTCAACTACCTTTCCTGCCTCCTCCTTCTCATAATCTTCTCCTCGTCGCGGCATGAAAAGAGCGCGCTTTGAATTTCCCGCACGATTAGACGCGAGCTCTTTCTGCGGCTCTTTTCTTTTTCTTTTCAAAAAGTCCGCTCTTACAGTAGTAGTTTTTTTTTTTTTTCATCGAGCTGACAAACCCGAGCTGATGGGTTTGTCACACACGTGCTCAATTATGTACGCGCGAATGTGTCGTTCGCGGAATTGTCGGGCCGCGCACCTGTCGTTCGCCTTCGAACCAAATCGCGTCAATCGATTGGCGTCCGCCAATCCATTTGTCTTTGTGCCGTTGACTTAATTCTATCAGCACCGGCTGTCGATAATTCAAATCGAGAGAAGCTTCCACGTAACCGCGATATCTTAGTTTACTAATGGACGGGTGGGTCGTACACGCCAGATTTCTGGAGCACACGGATCGCATTTATGACGATCGTGCCGCGAATGCGTGTTTCTCTTGCGAGCAACATATTCGTCCGGGATCCGCGAATGAAAATGGAAAGAGGGATGTGTGTGTATAGTCCCGTCTGGTTTGCCCAGTCACTCGATCGAAATACTTAGGGAAGGATAGCTTCGGGATTTCGACATAATGTCGAAACTCCCGGCGCGTTTCTTCTCTCAGCGAAGATTAATGTTTAAATTGAAAACGTTTCTTGAATTCCAAGCGAAATCCCGCCCTTAATCGCTCCCGTCGAAATAATCGCAGTACGTTGACTCTCCTTCGCTCAGAGTAGCGCAGAGAGAAGATTCGATACGGTTAACTTCGAGAGAATCTTGCCGTAGACTCTCTCATTTACCTTCCCCGTCACGACGCGTGGATGTCTCGCGCATGTGTAAATTGCTATTTGTGCGAGGGTAATTACTGCTACATATATTTCTTTTCCGCGTTTAATCGAGTAATTTATTCGTCTCGGAAGAAAAAACTTCAAACGCGCGTAAGAAAAAAGTTGTTCAACTATTTTTTTAAACAAATTTTATATCTTTGTTGGTTTTTGCGGCGATAATTAGCGCACGTTTTAGACTTCCTTTGAGAATTTTGCCAAAATGGTATCTCGAGTACAGGAGATCCCCCTTTCAGCGCTCTTCGATAAGACTTCGCGCGCTCCTTCCTGGATTCGAAGCTTTAGACGTGCCTTTGGCACGCACGCGTCTCGCGAAACGTCGCGGTGTTTTACAACCGCACGATATCATAGAGATTGCGCTGCTCGGATGTGAGGCTTCGCATCCGGAAGCGCAAACGCGAATGTAAGACGAGAACGTGCGCGCCACCAACATTTAAGGCTCTTCGTGCGCCACGAACTTTTTTTTTCTTCTCTTCAACGACGGGGTCAGAAGGAAGGCGGGCATTCGTGAATTCAGTTGGGCGTGAATGGCACGATATCGCGGACTTGACGCTCGTGAAAAATCGATTCGGTCTAGACACCCCCGGTCTTTGTGATACAGATTTCAGCCGGCCGGCCAATGGCGCCGTCTCGATTACTTTTCGTAAAGACGTCGCGCTGCCGGCGCAATATACGCGTATATTACAGTTATATGACATATGTATTTTCGCACGTACAAAAGTATCACGAGAAAAGTTCCCGCCCCCCGGCGAGAGACGAGCTCACCTTTTTTTCGCTACAACTATAGAGAAAGAGAGACGTGGAAAGACGTCACGAGAGAAACTACAAAAGGAAACGCAATCCAATGTTTATTTTTTTTTATCTCCTTTTTTTTTTTTTAGTACGAGTCAAATAATTTTTACGTCCTCGCGCGCGTATTCGTATGCAGCAGCTCCGTCTTAGCGAGGCGTGCACTCTTTGTTATTCAAGGAAGCTATTCGCACTATTCTGAGAGCTCGGTCGTACTTTTTCGTAAACACGCTCCAGCATGCGCTCCGGCATAGTGCCTGGCAGGCGAAGTTTAACTTCGCCCGGTGGATTTATTCAGACAAGAATCTCTCACGACAAAGGCAGCCGTAAATATTTGTCGGTGGAATAGGAAAATTTTATCACGAGCAACGTTTTTAATTTATCACGTTGTACTCGTCTTACACGAGGGAATGAGAAATGAAGTTAATTTACTTAGCAAAAAAATATTTCCCAGCTGATCGTTAGTTTGCTCCAATTCTGTTTCTTTTCAATGTTTTAAGTTAACGAGCACCACGAAATCGCTCTGTTACATTAATAATTGCCTGTGCAGTCGCGAAGCTATCGCAGAGCTTAAAGGGAATGTGTGATTGCAGCGTTCTGCAATGTTTCGATATTGCTGGAAAATGTATTTTTCTCGTCTCGACGTGTGTGTGTTCTATAAAACACTGCGCTTGGTCTCAAGTTTCTTTCGTAATCTCTGTGTTTCAGAAAGCTCTTCGCGCGGTCTGCCAGGCGGGAAACGAGATTACGGATGTGACGAAACGATGACGCGAAATCCACAACGACGGGAGGATCATCTTCGCGCTGCGAACCGGCGGATTCCGAGGATGGTCTTCCAGATCCTGTTAATACAGAATTTCGTTACGTTCAAAGCCGTAGCTCAGCAGATAGCGGAATGTCCGTCGTTTGAGATCATTCTCGACTGTCCCTGCTACAACTTCGAAGACGGTCTCTTTCTGGAGTGCGCCGGCGCCACGGAAGAGACTTTGAAAAAAACACTGGAAGGCGTGCTGTTCACAAATGGTGAGCAATATTCGCGAGCCAAGTATCTTCGATAACGCGATTAGAAGACTTAACGGTTCGAGCGCGCGAGCAAATTTATCGCGATATAAATTCCCCTCCTCTCCCGCCCCTCTTCGCGTTTCCCTGCTAGTGTCGAACGCTCTTTATCAAATTTATTCGTCACACCTCATTTAATGATCAGATTACATGTATGTGGCAGAGAGGGTGCTCGCGCTTTCTCACTTATTTCCATACAGTTTCAACTGGATGGTGAATAAAACACGATTCGGAGAGGAAAAGCGTTTTTTTACCCTAATGCGTCCCATAAAACTAATGAAACGTGCGATCGGCCAAATGCTGCCAAACTCGAGGTTTATTGTTATCGCAATCCGATGAAATTAATGACCGTGCGCTCTTTTCCAATTCGTTTTCAGGCCCGGGCACGATGGTGCAGTCGTTGAGCGTTTTCGAGCCGGACAAGAGCATCGAGGAGCTGAAGGGGACCGCGTTCCCGCCCGGTTTGCAAATCAGAATCTTTCAGATATCCCATTCCTCTCTGCGGGAAGTGAGCGAGAACGCCTTCGTGAATCTGAAAGACAGTCTGGAGTCTCTGGCGCTGGTCTTCGGTCGTTTGCCCCACGTGCCTCAGAAGTCGTTAGCCGATCTAAGGAAACTCGCCAAGCTGGATCTCGAACAGAATTTGATACAGGATCTGTCGTCTTACTGCTTTTACGGCCTGAAGCTAATGAAACTGACTCTAAAGGGAAATCAGATATCGAAAATTTCCGAGTACGCGTTCGCCGGTCTCGAGGACAGTCTCAGCGATCTGGATCTTGCCGAAAACAAGCTCAAGCTGTTTCCTATGGCTCCCCTGAGAAGGTTAGAGAGTCTGGCGTCGCTCCGACTAGCTTGGAACGAGATATCGGAACTGCCTGATGACGGTTACAGCCTCCTCGGCTCCCTGTTGATTCTCGACTTGAGCAGTAACAATTTCGAGAAACTAGGCGAGGACTGCTTCCGACCGTGTCCCATTCTTCACACACTATCGCTTCACTACAACTCCATCGAGAGCGTTCACAAGGACGCGTTCGCGTCGCTGAAGGATCTCGAGTCGATCGACCTGAGTCACAATAAGATAGTCTTCCTCGACGTGGCGACGTTCAAGGGAAACGAGCGTCTGCGCACGATCGAGCTCAGTAATAACCACATTCACTACATCGGCGGCGTGTTCACGAGGATGCCCGAACTGCGGGAACTCTATCTGGGGGAAAACAATATTCTTGAAATCCCGGGAGACGCGTTCCTCGGCAGCGTCAGCCTCGCGGTGGTGTATCTCGAGCAGAACGCCATCCGTAGAATCGACGCCAAGGGTCTCACGAGTCTCACGCAGCTCGTGCAATTGCATCTGAGTAACAACTACATCGAGAGAGTGCCGCGGGAATTTCTCGAGCACTGCGAGAACCTCTCGTCGCTGTCTCTGGACGGTAACAAGATTCGCGAGTTGCAGCCGGGTACCTTCCTCAAACTGCATCAGCTGCGCGAGCTGCGGCTGCAGGATAATCATATAATGGAGGTGAAACGTGGCGTTTTCACACCGCTTCCGTCGCTTCTCGAACTTCATTTGCAGAATAACGCGATTACCGGGATTGAAACGGGCGCGTTGCGGACGCTCAACAGTTTGCATCATGTTAATCTGCAGGGCAATCAGCTGACCATGCTCGGCGACGTCTTTCAGCTGTCCACAACGGAGTCGTCTTCCGACGGGAGCTCCTTGGTGTCCATTCAGTTGGACAGCAACGGCCTGGCCGTGCTGCACAACGATTCTCTGCGCGGCCAAGCGTCCGTCAGAATCATGTGGCTGAGTCACAACAAGCTAACGCATCTGCAAGCGCCTCTCTTCAGAGATCTTCTTCTGGTGGAACGTCTGTATCTGACGAACAATTCCATATCAATGATTGAGGACGGCGCCTTTCAGCCGATGCAGGCTTTGAAGTTCCTCGAGCTCAGCATGAACAAGCTCAGTCACGTGACCACGAAAACGTTTTCGGATCTGCACGAGCTTGAGGAATTGTACTTGCAGAACAACGGCCTGCAAAAACTCGACCCCTACGCGCTGACGGCTCTGAAGAAGTTGCAGGTGCTGGATCTGGCGAATAATTGCCTCAACGTCCTGGAACACACGTTCTTCCAGGAGGACCTGCCGATCAGAAATCTGAACCTGAAGAACTGCTCAATAATTACGATAGAAGACGGTGCCTTTCGCGGACTCAACAATCTGTTCGAGCTCTATTTGGACGACAATCTTCTCACGGCGTCGGCGTTGCTACATCTTCACGTTTCCGGTCTTCAGAAACTCACCGCGTCCGGAAATAATTTCAGTCAGATCACGGAGCACAGTTTCAACGGGCTGCCGTCGCTGCAGGATTTGTTTCTGGACGATTCGCAAATAAACCAATTGCCGGAATCGATCTTCGTGCTGAATCGGAACCTGGCGCGTCTGCATTTGAATCGGAATTATCTGCGCTCGCTGCCGCCTGGTATTTTCGACAGATTACTGTCGCTGCGGGAGATATGTCTGAATCACAATCGCTTCCAGGACATTCCGTATTCCGCGCTTGCGAACGCGCACAATCTTGAAATCCTCACGCTGTCCAACAACGAGATCACAAACGTCGACGTGGCCAGTTTCTCCGGTCTCAAGCGCCTCGGCATGCTGGATCTGAGCCACAATAAGATCGAGACGATGTCCGGCTTCGCGATGGCCAATTTGTCGCGTCTGATATCCGTGGATCTTAGTCACAATAATCTGAACGCGCTGCCGGCGAACTTTTTCGCGCATTCGTTCTCGTTGCGCAAAGTCGACCTGTCGGAAAATAAATTCCGACAAATACCCGCGGTGGCTCTCTCGGGCACGAACCTGCCCGGTCTGACCTGGCTGAATCTCACGCGAAATCCGCTAAATAGGATTCACGATCTACCGTCCGAGGCGATGTATCCCATTCTCAAAGAAGTGCACATATCGGGCACCAACCTCAGCATAGTGACCTCGCAGGACTTCGAGGCTTTCCCGGCGCTGCAACACCTCTATCTGGGTCAGAATCGTATTATGCGCGTATCGCCCGGCGCGTTTCGCAGTCTGCCGAATTTGCTCACCCTGCATCTCGGCATGAACAGTCTGGAAATTCTGCCGAAGGAACGACTCCAGGGTATGGAACATCTGAGCGTTCTCAATCTGACCCACAATCGTCTGAAGGAACTCGAAGAATTCCCGGAGGATCTCAAGTCTCTGCAGATACTGGACCTGTCGTACAATCAGATCGGCGTCGTCGGCAAGGTGACGTTCAAGAACCTAATTAGCCTGATCGAGCTGCATCTCTACGGCAATTGGATCAACGCCATCTCCAGCGAGGCGTTCAGACCCCTAAAGAAGCTACGACTACTCGACTTGAGTAGGAATTACCTGGAGAATCTGCCACTGAACGCTTTCCGGCCACTCGAGACGCAAATAAGGAGTCTGCGGGCTGAAGGTGAGCCACTCAGCTAGAAGCTCGTCTAGCGCTTGTAATTAATTTTCCACACACGCTTCGCGTTCGTTCTTCTTCGCGAGAAGCAATGTCGACGCTCTTGAATCCGAACGCGTGAACGAAGGCAATTTTCAGCGAGAATTTTTTTTCTGTACACATATACGGCTATCGATCCGAGTAAAGTTACTACTACTTGAAAAACAATCATATATTGCTAGTCACGTACTGCCGTCTTGAATCAATATTCAACACATTGGAACAATCAAACAAGTTCGCGTAACTCCAAGTCATTTTCTTCGACGGAAATAGGGAAACTGATCTCTCGACGTTTCTCTTAATATTTCTCGGAAATTTGTTTCGAGCATACGTTTTCTTTTCTTCTTTATACAAGCGACGTGTGTCTTCTTTTTTTGAATTAATAATAAAACAGTTTGAGATGTGGCGTATTACACCGATAAATAAAATTCTATTTGATTAAAATTTGTTTCTTCGTAAACTGCGCGCGAGCATTTCATGCTAATTGAATACATATATGTATTAAAATTACATTTCAATTATTCTTGATGCATAAATCTCTGATAATTTTTCATCAATTACGACCCGGGAAAATGGATACGATTTGTAATTTATAAACTTACAATTTTTCACATATAAAAGTATTGAATTGAATTACCGATAAATAAATGAGTGATATACGGTTTTCTTTGTATGTTGCGCGAACAGCAAGAACAATGAATAAAAATTCTACGAAACGTGCAAAATTAATGTGCAAGTAAAATGTTGAATTGCAAATTGTAATGTTAATTGCAAACGCGCATCGATTCATCCGCCGTCTCCGGCTTACAATATATAAATATTTTTATTCGCACGAATTGTTTTTCACTCGGTGAAATAAATAAATAACAAATTAATAATAATAAATTATCTTGTTTACTAACGTCTTTCTCCCTCGGCAATAAATTAATAAAAATAAATGACTTGTTTGCTAACATGTATTGTAACACGTACAAATAGAAACTTATTGTTAATTTTATTTATTGTACAGTACAATATTGTTTTTTTTGTTTTTCATATAATGAAATATATATTTATTTAACAAGCACAATTATTGCGATTGTGAAATAGTGCTTTGCATTTTTAAACTGATTCCAATGAACATAATCTTGCGACTTAATAGCGAATATTCTTTGTGGTCTCATTGGCAGAAAATCCTTTACACTGCGGCTGCGAGTCGCAGGAATTATGGGAATGGTTGAGAGATCATCAGAAATTGGTGAGCGGGGTCGGCGGTGGTCGTAGCCGCGGAAGAAATGGTGTCGGAGTCGGTGACGTCGAGGGCGGTTTGTTAAGATGCGAGCAGCCACCCGAGCTCCGGGGTCTCGTCTTTCTCGATCTTGACCCCCACGCTTTCTGTTCCGCTCCGCTGGTCTTGAAACTCGCAATTCAGGACATTCAGCCCTTTTCCGTTCTGGTATCGTGGCAGAGCAGAAATCATTCTGGCCTTTACGGCTACCAAGTGGCGTATCACGCCTTGGACAACGTCGACGAGGTGAGTTTTTTTTATGATTGCGCACACGAAGAGATCACAACTGACACTTTGTCAGATAAAATGAACAAGGAAATAAAATCATTCTTTTATACGGTGAATTTTCTCTCTTAGAGAAAACACAATGATATAACACATGCACAAAAGATAGTAATTAGAATATAATAAATTAATATTCGCGCGTACAATTAAAAATGGTATTAATAACATTTACGTTTAATTATATTGAACACATTTACGGGGAAACGCGACAAATTATTTTCTGAAAGTTAAATGAAAGTTAAATTCTCTATCGCAGTATTTTACGACTGTCTCTCCCTTTCTCTCTCTTTCTTTCTCTTATTCAAATCTCGGCGTAAAAATTCCCGCACGTTGATAGCGATCCGTTCGTTTCCGCCGTCGTTTCAGGTACGTGCCAAGCTGCTGGACCCGAAGGCACGTTCGGTGAGATTGACGAAGCTGGCGTCTGATACGCGCTACCTGATCTGCGTGCTCGGTTTGGGCAGTTGGGGCACGCCAATCCCGGAGGACATCGGTTCCTGGCAGTGGAACGCGTCGCACGACGACGTGATCGAGGGATCTTCGTTGCCGGTGATGGTGAACTCGCCCACGAGCCGCTGCACCGAGGTTCGCACTTTGGACGCGCCAGACTCGATAGTGGGCGACGGCACAGTGAGCGATCGAGGCGGCATCGCGAGCATCCTGACGAGACGACTCGGCCTGATTGTGGGCAGCTGCATGGGCTTCGTCGTGTTTGTGGTGCTGATCTCCGTACTCGGCTACATGAAGATGAAGAAACAGCGGGCGACGATCAAGCGGGATCAGCCGCTTTCGTCGAATCCGCCCGAATACATGTCGTATAGACACTTCTCGTTGCAGAGCGGCGATCGGGCGGAGAACACCTGTCCGAGCTTCATCAGCAATCTCGGTCCGCCACCTCTCAGCTCGTAGCAGAAGGGGAAAGAGTCTCGCAAAGAGGCTGACATCGAGCTGAAGACCGTGTCGACTTGCACCAACATTTACAGCTAATAATTGCGCGCGCGATGCGACGACGCTTAACGTTTCCCGGTCGGGAGAGAACGTCGTCCCCGTCGGGAACGAGACGACGGCCGTGAGTGTATGTGTGTGTGATATCGAATCTTCGAGCTCTTGCAGCGCGCGAACGATGCGTGATGACCGTGATGTAACTGTGTGTATTCCGCGGTCGTCACGAGACGATGTGATTTTTCTTTAAAAAAAAACGCCGCGAAACGCGCGATCTATACAAGATGTGAAACTTGTACGTGAGCAAACCGATCGAAATCGAAACGGCGATAAAATCAAAAGAAAAAAGTGTTTTGATCATCAGCAACGCGTTTCAACGCGAAGGTTCTTTTATACTGCCTCGTCGAGCGTGATCACTCAATGTCATCACTCTCGCGATTCTGCTCATCTTGTGTACGAAGGGGAGAAGTGCAACGCAGCAAAGTGCCAAAAAAAAGAAGAGAAAAAAAAACGCGTCCTCTGAATGTACAATCTCGTCATCAGCTGCGCGAGTGCGAACGCGCGCGCGACTTCCGCTGTGCTGTGTTAGAAGCGACGTCTTCCGAGCGTCGTCTGCGCGCGCGAGACTTAATCTCGTTATTGTACATCGACGCGAGAAGCGTCAGCGCGCGACTTCAGGCACGTCACGGTGTTTAAAGAAGCTTGTGCCAAAAGAGCCGGAGAGCGCGCTTCTCGTGCGCGAAATCTGTGCGGACTTTCTTGCGAGAAAAATCAAACACGCGCGTTGCGCGCGCGCGCGTGTGTGTGTGTGTGAGTGCGCGCGCGATAAATTAGCATTTTGACGGGAGAATTTTATCGAGGAATTCTTCACGAAATCTTTTCTCTGTTCTTTTTTTTTTTTTGTTTTTTTTTTTTTATACAAAGTAACGCAGCACACAAAAAAACAAACCGGCGCGAATACACTTCAGGTGCTTTACGAAACAAAAAAAAAAATTAAAAATCCGAGCAACGACGTATCGAACCCTCTCTTTCGAAACTTCGAATCTCTCATACGAAGACTGATTTTTTTAAACCACTTTTTTGAAGTTTTCTTCGCGCAATTCCGGAGGAACTCGTCTGTGCGTGTGCGTGTGTGTGTATGTGTGTAACACGTTTTTTTGTAAATATAACGCGAAGCCACGTGACGACGTCCGTGCAGGTGTGTATTCGTGAAATTCATCTCTGTAGTGCTGCGCAAGCAATATTACACTTATTCGTAACGATAGTTCTAACGATCAGCACTAACTAAAACGAAAGAAAGAAACCGCGCGCAAAGGGCTCGTCACGTCGAGAAATGTGAATCCTTGAAACATCGGGACGAAAGAAAGAAATGTTGCGAGAGAACGGATCGTGATCTTAGCCTTGTAGATTTTGATAATATCACGTGATAAGAGGCAGACGTGTGTGAATCCGTGAGGAACATTCGAACCGAAGCTCACATTCGAAATTTTTGAATTGCGACAAACTAAGTGTGATTCCTGCCAAAAAAAAAACAAAAAAAAAAACAAAAAAAAAACAAAATGAAGTAATCGATTCCAATCGTTGCCAAATGTTAACTGTGTATCGAATGTCGTGAAAAAAAAATCGGTTTATTGTGTATATAGATAGAAGATATATATATATATATATATATGTATACACATAGCATTCTTTATTATATAGCCTATATATGTATATATAGGCTTTCGGTTAATAAAAGTACTCTAAAGCTGTAATTCTCCATCGTTTCAATTGTCCTCAATCCTCACAAAGTAGCGAAAAAAAAAAAAACTACTTGATCGTTGACTAACGCCTCGGTTCTCTCGAAAATAGAAAACGGCACCGGAAGATACAGATCGCGACAATAATCACAAAAGCACGACGAGTTTCGAGCTTCGTTTCACACGTTTAGGATACATAATCTTCGGGAGTGAGAGAAATGTCACGCAACGGGGCCGCGCGCGCGTCTTCGTCGGTGATGCACAATTATTCATTTCGTTTCGCGTCAAGATTACGCTCACGACGCATCTGGTTTATGATGCAGCCGCCATTCCGGCAAAATGGAATTTCCTAGCGTATCTCCGGCGATCCGTTAAGTCATCTCGCACGACTAATTAATTAATTATAATGTGCAGCTTAGAACCGGACAGCTTAGAACGCCCCTCCTGCGGTTCACATAGATTCCGTAATTAACTCGGGTCTATTCCCGAGCGTCAATCAGTTCCGATCTGATACGTCGGTGTAGAAGCTGCGGCTTGCGTGAATATGCATCCTCTAATACACGGTTCGACGGATCGTCCGTTTTATCGGCCATTCTGCATCTCCGAGGTGTGTGTTATCGCGCGCGCGCGCGATTTCGCGGAAACAGGTAAGTGAATAATAAAACATTTTATCACCTTTGTAACGCGCGCCGAATACGTGAGGAAATGCGAATATTAATATTTAAATAAAAATGTTTTCTCGTGTACTTCTCTCTTCCTTCTCCGCAACTCAGCGTTGTAAAAAGAAGCATCTCAGTATCTGCTCTTGTATGCCCTGATGAAGTGAACTGAAACATTCACGAAACGTCGGTATAAAAATGACAATGCGATCATTTACATCATTTTCAGAAATTGTTATAACACTGCAAAAGCATTAAATATTAAATATTCATACATATATGTTTTTGTATGTATATATATGTGTACATGTATATTTTATTTATATTATTTATATTATTTATACACAAAGAAAGTTTATAAAACATTGTCTGACAAATATTTATTATATAAAATGGATAAACAAGTATAACGGACATGCGAAAAGTGAACTGAAAGTTGCGAGGATGGGATCTTGAAAACTTAATTAAGTACAGTTGGAATTGTAGCAACGACGACAATGTCGATGCTCCTTGAGGGAACGGCGAGTATCGCGAGAAGTTTGAAATAAGATCGCTGCCGAGTAAATTTAATGAGACTACAAGAAGAAGAAGAAGAAGAAGAAACACGACGGGAAAAAGGTCAATGCGATACGTCGAGCGGTATGCCGAGCAGCGTAATTATGAGCGCTAATTAATTCCAAGACTTTCATTTAACTGCTGTCGCATGTCGGTAATTCACCCCTGATGTAGATAACAGTTGTAAATATGTGACGAATCGCTCGTAGAGATCTTTCGCTCGTTCTGTACAAATTTATATATTCCGTGTAATCTCATCGCGCGCGGAAGAAACCCCGGCGCGGAGTCTTTTTTTTTACGACGGCGTAAAATTCGCGCGATCCTACGTGAAGATCATCGCGAAACTAACAGACTCTTTCGCTGTTTTCCTCGTTCTTTCTTCTCCTTTCGTTTTGTTTTTTTATAAAAAAAAAGTACGTAACAGTAGCTGGCATAATTAACAAAGACGTGCGTGATGAAACTTCGTGAGGAAGAGAAAATAAAAGAAATGTACAAAGGAGAGTTTGCAAGCGCAATTTAATTAACAAAGATGTATGTTGAGATGTATCAAGAAGCAGATAAATCACTTCACGTAATTAGTTGTTGCGTTGTGTTTATGTAACGCGAGATTAATCTTCTTTCCCCGCGTCTTTATATTTATTCGTTTCGTACGTTTCTGATTACGTTCGCATCCCTATCAATCTTGGAAATAAAAACGTTCTATCACACATTGTACACATACACGCGATGCGGCAGAAGAGAAAAACCCCGTAAACAGCCTTCGACATCCTCTCTCGAAATTTTTCAAAACAAAATTACAATATTACGGTCTGTGTGATACAAATTGCTACACGCGCGAGGGTGTGTGCGCGTAAAATTCCAAGAAGTCCGCGGAACCTCAGGCGCGCACACCCTCTCTCGATATGAGGCAAAAGTATTCTAACGTTAATCAAGCGAAACGTCAGTGTGCAACGGAAACCGGGCTGTGTGTGTTTTGCTTCGGGAGCATCTCTCCTCATGACAAACAACTGCGGTCGAGGGTTCTTCTACCTCGAGAGCGGGCAACTCCCGCATATTGTTAATCTTTCGCCCTGTGCACACGGGACCGACGCGGGGCGCCTGCAGTTTCCAAGTGCAACTATTAATAAGGTGCGCAGCGCGCCGTTAGACCATAACTATACTGCCGTCGGGTAGAGAGCGAGATGGCTCCGGGATATGAACATCCTCGTGATGTCGGTAGGGTCGGTAGTTAGCGTAACATAGCCCCTTGTATCTTATATCTCGGGAAAACTTAGGAGGCGGAGGCGTGCGCGCGCGCGCGAGCAATTGTATTAGAGCCGATGTCTGTACAGGACGTTATACGAGAGGAGTTCCGATCCTCGCACATACCGTTGTTGTCCTCCACGCGCGCGCAAAAGAGCGGATAATACGCTCGAACAAGGCGGCTCGTTGTAAAAGACGAGCAGGATCAGACGCTTGTGCCGAGAGGAAAAATTATATGCGCGTGCAATGAAACATACCATCATCTCTGTTTTTGTGCCTCTTACCCTGTAGTATCCTCTCGTCGTCAGCGCCTTCGATCGTGTTTCTCTCAACTCGACTTTTCACCTGACACAGTACACCCTGGAGAGATACTCGTGGGTATGGCTCTCTCTCGTTGTAAACAGTTGGCAGCTGTGAATGAGAGCAGACACATGATAGTAGCGCATTACGCGAACAGCACTTGAAGAGCATCGCGTTTCACGTGAGTGTGTGTTGTTGTTGAGTTTTTCTGATAATTTTTTGCGGAAAGAGCTAAATCGCGCGCAAGTTCCGAGCGAGAACGTGTTGTAATATTTTCGCGCGAAAAAAATCCTCGGATATACATATCCGTTATACATGGCCGTATCTTTTGTATGTTTCTGTACGTGTTGCGCACTTCTTGTGCAGTCATTTTGCAAAGGGAAAAAAGTGACAGATTGCGCGAGATAGCGTTTTATAACGGCACAATAGTCGATACGGTATATGGCTCCCGGTATAAAACTACCATTCGCGCCGCGCCATGACGTAAAACATTTATCAAGTAACCAATTCACCGCGACGTGTAAGTGCGCGCCATTCCAACGGCGCGATATCTAGAGTAGAGAGAAATAACTATCTATGGGCGCGCAGTCTGCTCGCGACAGCCTACAGCGCGCGCGCGAGGGGAGTCCATATTTATTGAGATGAACGCGACGGATTGTACGGGGGTTTATAGCGGCGCATTATTGTTGGATTAGTGTACGTCTGGCGGCGTCAAAAAGCGATATCGATTGAACGTTATATAGGTACCCGTCGATACACACACGCACCGCCGTCATCGGAATTCACACTTGCGTGTCGCGCGTATGTATGATATTTTATGTATCGTCGTCGACGTTAATTGCACCAAGAGTATATTTCCGTGTATTTGCCTGTGGTGGAAACGGTTACGGTTCTTTGCGCTGTACAATTTTACGTTTGATATTTCGCCGTTTTCACGAGTGATGTCTCTTTCTCTCTTTCTCTCTCTCTCTCTATCTTTGTCTGATTGAAATATCGTGTCAAGGTTTGTAAACAACAGAATATTTACACGCGCACAAAAGCAGCTGACTTTTGACGCATTGTGTTGCGATTAAAAAAAACATCTTTCGAGTGCAATATTTATCGGCCGCAAGTGGCACATGTGAGAGACAGGAGATAAATGCAGAATTTCTAGTTTATAAAAAATATATATTCCGTTTTTCGCGCACAACGCTTCCCCAAATGCGCGGAGAAAGAAAATATTCCAATTTGAGCGATTTAATTAAACATATACTTCATTGTGTATTTGGTGTTGTATGCTAAACTTTTCGTGTTTCAAGTGGCTGAGAACTGCATTCTTGAAATATTTTCGGCCGATCGAACGTTCGAATATTTGAAATTTCCGTAAGAAATTCCTCCCTAAACTGACCGTAATAACTTTTTTTCGACTATGTAAAACCAATAAAGTTTTTACGTGGAAGCACGTGCATTGCGTGTAAACAATTTATACGAGCCGCAAACAAAAGTGGTCGGAATTAATAGATAATTTTATTAAAGAATAATATTGCAGAAAAATGCTTTGACATATCTTAAATGTGCGACAATGTATTACAAGTTGATATAATCTTAATATCGATAAATTCCCGCGATTTGTAACGGAAAAATTAAAAAAGTCCACAAAAATATATGTAAGGAGAGAATATCGGTCTATATTATATTTGTACAATAATAGCGCAAAAACATCTTCGCGCACACGACTCTCGCGTTTACTTCCGAGCGCGAGATTTTGCTTTTCCGTATATATCGTGTATATATCGTGTATATAAAGATTTCAGATAGCACTTCCCCAGAAAACCCTTCTTCGATATATCGATCAGCAGTATACTCTCCCTGCGGGATTGCATTTTTTTGCCTGTTCCGTTTGCCACGTCAAAAAAATCTCCGCGCGACTTTGCGAGAGAAAGAGAAAAAGAGAGAGAGAGAGAGAGAGAGAGAGAGAGAGAGAGAGAAAGAGAGAGAGAAGAATCAAGAGCGCTTTAAATGTCCAGTGAATGTCGTAATCTGATTTGGAATAATTTCATTCTCTTGACCCAGAGAAAGGAAAAGGACGGGCAAAGTGGCTCGGAAGTGAGAACAGATACCTGAAGGAAGACGCTCGTGAAGAGACACTCGTTTGGCGCGAGGAGAGGTAACAACCTGCTTCACATAAATCTAACCCCGTGATCAAGGAA